GATCCGCGCCGGCTGCCTCACCCATGAAGTTGTAGTTCCAGGAGCCCTGCGCTGGCACCATGAAGAAGCCAAGGAAGCGGTCCGACAGCAGCATCTGCACCCGCTCGTAGTGGGAAGGCAGGTAGCCCTTGGGGTTGTTGCCCTTGTCCGTGTTCTGCCTGCCCCACTCGTAGCCGCTGGGAGTCAGCTTGTAGGCCGTCAGCGTGCAGGAGCCGGGGGTGAAGCTGCAGCCCAGGAGGGACAACCAGGAGACAACGTGTCTGGAGAGTGTGGCCCGGAGGCCGGGCCTCCCCATCCCTGCTCGCGCCCACCAGCCCGCAGAGCTCTCTCTTTAGCTCCAGGTGAGAGCCGCCAGTTCAGCACAGACTGAAGCCCCAAGTTCTCCGGCGCAGCCCGTGCCCTCCACTGCCGCCAGCAGCCGAGGCTCCAGCTCTGGCCTGTGCCTGCAGCAGGCAGGCTGCAGGTGCCAGACCCAGGCGGTGCTTCGGGTAGCTTTGGCCACATGCCTTACCTGCAGGTAATGATGATGGTCTTCTCCCCGTCCCAAGAGGGGTTGTCAGCCATGACCTTGGCATGGGTGGTGACGTCCTGTGGGGAGAGCTGAGGCGACTCGTTTGGCTGAGTGTGAATCCACCCAAGGGGCTCCATTTCCTAACGAAGGAAGGAGGCATTAGACGCTGCGAGTCCCCCCAGCCACGGCCCGACTCCATCACGGAACAAAGCGCGGCTGTGAATGAACTCTCCGCCCCAGAGAGGATAACCAGAGTCCAGGGACACAAGGGGGACCTGAGCCTCTGCCCTCAGAGTCCAGCACCCACCGAGTAGTAGGAGAGCACCGACCCTGGGGAAGAGGCAAGCTACTGCCCCCGTGCAGCCTGCAATGCACGCGCACAGGCAAGATCTCATTCTCTATGCTCAGGCCTTTGCTACAGGGCTACTGAAGGTGCCTCCCAGCCCCCTGCGAGGGCCAGAGCAGTCACACTCACCTTGAGGTACTCGTGCTGTGGCAGCTGGCCAGGGAGATGCACAGTCTGGTGAGTTCCCCACTGGGGCACCATCACGATGCACCGGATCTCCTTCACTTGGGGGTTATCTGGAGGGCTCACTCCATACAGGTACCCCGCAATCTAGGAGCACACGCGCAATAAGTACTCGATGCCCCTGGGGGACTGGGCCACCCACTCCAGCCTCCGCTCCCACGACTAACAGCCCTCTGTCCGAGCACTGTCCCAAGCTGGAGAGTGGGGACACGCAGCCGCAGGAGCACAGCTGGAACCCAGGGGCTGTGTACAGCCTTAGCCAAACTCTTGCTTCAGCTCAGGGCAGACAGCAGCAGGCCACAGCTCTTCCAGCTCTGGCCTTGGGAGAAGGAGAGGTGGATGCAGCCTCCCGGACTGGCCTGCCCCGATGCCAGCAGCTGGAGCGAGCCACTGAGCATAGGCTCACTGCCTAGGACTCACCTGGGCCCGCAGGTCAGAGATGCAGATGAACTTCTTCAGCACATTCTTGGGGAGGATGTAGGTGTAGCCTGTTTCCTTGATGTCGTCAGATGAGACGTAGATGTGGTTTGTTCTCAAGTGGAGGTTGGCAGCAGAGATCGCTCTGTAAAAGGGAGAGGGCTATCCAGCAGCTGAAGGGATCTCTGCCTCCCCACAGGACAGCAAGCCCCACCTGCCCCTCTACCCACCTGACTCGCCACTCTGTCTTGGAGGAGAAGGTCTGGGTTTCATAGTTGCTGGTGGTGGAAGTGATGATCTCGTCACCATGCTTGTTGACCGTGCGGGTCTGCGTGGCTGTCAGCTGTGACTGTTCCTTGGTTTGCTTCTCAATCTCCGCAATCTGCTGCCGCTGCTGAGAGGGGGCAGAGATCTCCATGCCCAGGATGATATCTCGAATTTCTGACTGTGTCAGGGACGCCACATTCACACTGGAAGAGAATTCCCCTGTGTCAGCATCTCCAAAACACTCCCCGCAGACACACACCCCATGGCAAGCTCAGAACAGCCTCCTGCAGGAGCAGAGCAGGTGCTGGGAGCACCGAGGGTCCTCTCAGATGCTGCACGATTCAGCACCGCCCTGCCCTGCCCTGCCCACAGGCCTCCAGGGCACGGGGTCCAACTGACAGCAAGAGTTAGCTTCCCTGCTGACCCCTCCCTAGCTTCAGGTGAGAAAGCAGACAAGGCCAAGGCTCCCAGCAGGCATCTCCTTCTCCCTGCAGCGTAGTCCCTGGGGCAGAGAAGAGGCCCGCAGGCTGGTGACTAGACCCATTCCCGGCAGTCTCGGACACTTACTTGTTTTTCTTGCCATAGTCTGCAAGGATCAGGTCCTTGAGCTGCACCTCCACCTTGATCCACTCCTCATCTGTCAGGGTGGGCCATATGTGGTGTGGCTCTGTTATGGTGGTCTTGTCTGGCTTCAGGATCACTTTGGCTCGGTCGTTGTTCACGTGCAGTGCCCGGAGAATCAGAATCAGACGTGAAAAGGCCTGCGAGAGAAGAAACGTGCAGCTGCTCAGCAAGGAGAGCCCAGGGCACAGGAGCCTGGCACCGTGCTCCCGCTCCAGGAGACACGACACCTGTGCTGCAGGTGCAACGTGCAGGACATGAAGCGACCTGACGCTCACTGGACAGGAAAGCCACACACGACAGACTACCTGACACAACACTAGCTCAGCCTGCAGCAGGCACAAAGGGGACCCCAGGCCCTGCCCCCAGTGGGCTACGTGCTCTTTGTGAGCTAGCAGTGCAGGCACAGCACGCACAGTGATGCCCTTACCGTGTAGGAGGAGATTGTTTTCAGCCAGTCATCATAGAGGTTGAACAGAACCATCTGCGGCTCAGTAGCCTTCAGGATGAGGTCCCCAAACTTCTCCACTTTCAGGCAGGCCTGGAAGGGCAGCTGCAGCTCCGAGCCTTTGATCACAATGTTGGGGAAGTCCAGCAAGTGCACCTGGAGTCAGGGAGGGCAGGAATGAGCCCACACCAGCCTTGCCCAGTCACCACCTGCTTCTCTCCCAGCCGGGGACTGCAGAACCCAGCACCAGGGCTCAGCACGGGGCTGCCCAAGGGCTGCATTGCCCATACATCACAGATGCAGAACTCACCCTCGCCTAGGGCACTCTGCAGCGCGGCAGGTGAGCCCTACCCTCCACCAGAGCAGCTCCGCAGAGGTGCCCATCACCACCATATCGGATCCTTTACCTCGAGAGGGTCCAGCATGCCCTTCCTGGTGACGATGATCTGCTTGGGCTGCTCCTCCACAGGGAGGGAGCGAATCAGGGCAGCCACTTCTTCAGCGGTCTTCCACTTTGCCAGCTGCAGAGGAAGGCAGAGTTAGAGCACCAGCACCTACCAACCAACCAACCAACAACCCCCGCCACTTTTCTGGCCTTTCACCTGGGTCGTTAACAGCAAACACCACGGCTTGAGCCAAGAAGTATGCGGAGACCCTATGGCCCCCCTCTGTTGCCGATCAGGCAGGGCAGCCACAGGAGTGAGCAGGAGCATCTCGCCCAGCTCCATCCCCACCTCCCAGCCACTAACTTGCCTCTAGAGGCTGCTGGCAATCAGTGCCCCCAGGCTTGACTCAGGCTGCCCTGCTCTCTCACCACCTAGCATCACAGCACTGTCTGGGAGGGCTGGATGCCCCTTCAGCAGCGGCAGGTGCCGTTAGCCCTGCACAACTGCCCTGTGTCCCAAGCCCTGCTGCTGCGTGATGAGACCATAGTAAGAAGCCCAGCCCAGGGGCCCTCCTTAGGGATGCAGCCCTCAGAGCCCCACCAATGCCCATCTTAACACAGAACTGAAGGTGTCCTGGTGCACAAGGTTGGATCTCTGTGTTGGAAGTGCTCCAGGCTTGGCTAGGGATGCTGGTTCCCCAGACCCGGCAGGATGCCACATGGATCTATCCCCTCACATGGACTCCCAGAAGCAGGACGCAACTCAGTCTCCCTGACTTCAGCAGGCCACCTGGCCCTCACCTGGCCCAGACGCTTCTGTCCTGCCCATACGGAAGTGTGAATGATCTTCAGGAAGAGCTGCCCTGTCCTGGGGTTGAAGATGAAAATGGCCCCGTTGATGGGCTTCGTGGTCAAGTTCCCTTCAAAGGTCTGTGAAAAACAAACCGGGGAGAACTCTGCATTGAGCCACAGACGAGTGAGATGAGTCTGGGGTCCCGCTCAGCCCATCCCACACATACAGCACAAGAGAGTCTGCAGAAGCGCTGCAGGCTGCCATGCCGGTGCCCTCCAGGACCCCAGAACCTATCCTCTGTACCCCAGAAGTACCCACCCCAGGCACAGACCTC